TAAAAAAGAATATTTTCATAGTCTCCTTCAGTACACATGGAGATTCCTTAATCTTACCCCATAACCCACGTTTTTCCCCCAGATCATCTTACACAATGGAGAATGAGTGAAATAGTATGGTTTACATAATGTATGTAATACATGTGGATGAAAAGTGGAAAAATAATCAAGCATTTCATGGATAGATATCAGGATTTGGGGATTATTATTAAGTAGTCAAATAGTGTCTTTGGCATTCCTCCATCTCTCCTTGGGCAATAGTTCCCTGGTTCCATGATCCTATCCAAGTGAGAAACTTGCCTGCCCAGGCTCTTCTTGTACCCTGACTGTCCCCCACTGTGTTTCCATCAGCATTCTCATTTCCCTCCCCCATCAGCATTTACTTGCCTGTCTTATTTTCACAGGTCCTGCTCCCTGGTGGTAATTTGATATACTAACTTTTTGAAAATAATTTGCATTATAAAAACTACGCTTCATGGATCTGATTGTTAAAAACATGTAATAAATAATATTTAACAAACCGTGGTATGTTAAAATTTAGGCCTTTAACTTAGATCATGTATTACTAGTCCCATCCTCATTATTTAGGCCCATAGCTAGATCTTATGACTAAGGCATAACAATGTTGAAGCCAAGTTGCCAGTTGGTCTTACTATTCATGTCAGATGAAATGATCATATAAATTCCCACTGTGGACCAGACCAAAGGATGTGGATGGCTCGGTGCAGATCCATGGCTACTACTGGAAAAGAACAGAAGTACCCATTGATGGTAGGTCATAAGTTCATCTTCAGGAATGAAGGTCCATAAACAAGAGATAGTGTGATATGGTCAGAGTTCCACATTTACTGTCTGATTCTGTATGAATAACAGAGGTATTTCTAGCAATAAATTTAAATGACTATAGAAATATCTGAAAATGCATAATCAATCATCCCCAGAAAATGTGGAATCTCTCAAAAACGAAACTTTGGAAAAGCATTTTGATTTTCACAGGCAACAAAATGAAATCCTCATCACCAGGGAAATAGGTATAGAATTCTGAAAGCTGAAATTGTCCAAATTGATTATCTTAGATTTTGTTGGATGTTTAGTTTGAATTTTCTTTTTAAACTGCTCAAGGTTTTAAAAAAAATTTTTTGCACAAACACATGGAAATGAGGAATGTAAAATTTGTTTTTATTAATGTTGTACATACATTGTTAAAGAATACATCACCTCCAAATGAAATTATGGTTTCTCTTACACTTTTTCCCTTTATTTTTCTTATGGGCCTGTCCTTTACAGAAACAGGGAAGGCTAAATTCCTTCTGACCGGAAGTGATCATCGGCTTCTGGTCAAAAGAAAATGGGATGCTGATTATCTACTATCATTTGTAACCAACAATTCCCTCCACTCCCAGTGCCCACCCACTCCTGAACCCATCCACCCACTACCACTTGCCCAGGGCAGCAGCTCCCAGATGGCTTAGTAAGAGTTCGCCAAGGTAACACATGGATATGAAACTCTTCTTTGACAGGTGCCGCAAATGAGCTTTATTGAAAGTGGCGTTTCCAGCTGTGGTCTGTGGAAGTAGCTTCAGGCTTTTCTCCTAAAATTTGGCCACATCAAGGAACTTGGAATCATATTTCCCTGAATGACTTATCTAATGACTTATCTTCTCACCTAATCTCTCCAACCTGTCCCAATAGCTCTTGTTTTTTTCACCAGGGTAGAGGGATGTTTCTACTCATCCTGTATTACCAATTTCTAAACCCATATTCAAACACTTAGTATCAAACAAAAATAGCTCAGGATTTTCAAACTGTACTTAAATTTAATATATTGGATTTCAACTATACAAATCTTCAAGGTTTTAGAAATGCTTCAATTTGTTTTTGTTTTGATACAGTTTTCAAACAACCAACCAAACAAACAACATTCTGAAATGGCAAGATTTGCATTCAACTAAACTAACCAGCATGGGAAAAACAACGACGACGACGACAACCAAAGACATCTCCAGAGGTTTTTAACAACGGAAAATTGTTTAGGCATCAGGATGGTTTGGCACAATCTGTCTAATCTTTCCCATCAGGTTTCTTAGCATGCAACTAAACCCCAGAGGGAAAGAAAAAAATTCCTTTTGGCTCACTCCATAATTCTTGTTTGACCCATATTTTATGCTAGTTCAAGCAGAAATCTGCTGAGAAGCTTACAAAAAAAATCTTTGAAAAGCTCTTTAGGGACAACTTTGTCCCTCTTGATAGAAATGCCTACAGATGGAGGCACAGCCTTTTCTAAGGGAGCCACAAACACTGCCTAATGCATCACTGGGCTTGCACAGTGGGAAGATTTTCTTTTGTTGCGTTAAATCAACAACCTTTAGACAGGAGGACCATGAAGGTAGAGAGTATAAATTGTATTCTGCCATCATTTCTAGCTACCTCTACTCATTTGTAAGAACTTGAGAGATAAGTCATAAATAAGTAAATGACTGTTCTTTTTAAAATTATGAGAGCTAGATTTTAAAGGAGACAATGCAAATTCAAAAATTATAACTCTCGAAGTCACAAGACAATGTTACATTTGTCAGTTCTGAACATTTCTAGCTGTGTGTTCTTAGATCAGCCAGCCTACCCCTCTGACTCTCTGATTGCTCACCCATAAAACAACAGGGATAAGAATATTGAAATGACTACCTTATCCACTTAATGTGATAAAATGAGAAACAAATGACAGAACACACTGTACAACATAAAGAACTATTCAAATGTGGAGTATTATTTTCAGAATGCAGATGGGATTATAGGAACTCCATTGTGAGGTTTGAAATGGGACACTTTTATCTAAACACTTACAATTATTACTAATACTTCTGCAGTTAGTGAATAGTAACTTACAGGTTCTTTTTATATGTTTGTATCTCTGCCTAGTTTTTCTCACTACACTTTAAACAAAGTACGCTGCATTTTATATAAATTTAACACTATATTATATTTCCTATGAAGTGTCTGGAAATATACATGGATCAATTATCTTGGTATATTTATAGTAGCAGAAAAATTATAGAAAACAAGGCTTTTTATTTATCACCTATTAGAACAAAATTAAACATGAAAGCATGCTATGTTATCTAGTTTTCCTTTCAATTACAGTGTTAATGAAGAGTGACTTCTAATTCAATCACAAGACTAAATGTTTGAGAATATCTATTAGAACACTATTTTCAAAAAGGGATTAAAAACAATTTAATATAAATTTTAAGGACTACATCTAGAAAGAAAATCATATAAAATGTTACATAGAAACAGTTAAGTCACAATAATTTTATAAAAGTGTAAAATAAGGGAAGTGTTTAATTACTGTGACATTTAAAAGAGATTATTTCAAGTAAGAACCTGAATAACATGAAGAAATCAACTGAACTTATTTGATGAAAGAAAAGGTGAGAGGTGGAATTTTAAAAATAAAAGTTTTAGTAAGGCTAACAAGAAAAAAGAAATTGTGCTTTGGTGATAATCTATAAACTGGGGCTGTATAAACACATATTCAAAATTATCCTAATGTTTAAGCTGATTGTTTTCTTAATTACCTAATTTAACAAACACCTCAGTGGTTTATCTCTGTATTTCCACATACATCTTACATTGCCACCACATATATAATTAATTGGGAGAAGGACATATAAAATATTAATTTTATGAGAATAAAAAGAATGCAATAGGAAAATATAAGGCTTGATTTTAATTTTGTGGCAAATATAGAATCATAAAATCAAATATTTTAGGGCCAAGAGGTACTTAAGGAGGCAAATACTACTATCCTGTGTTTTAAAAAACATTATTTTTGTAAGTGTTTTTGCATTACATTTGAAGATAATTTTATAATCACTTCTAGGGTCATTCCTTGTCACTGGCAGTGGCACTCTTTCTTGGGGGATAATTCTACTAATGTTGGGGTCAGGTTACAGATGGATGTAAATTTGCTTTCCTTTCTGAACACAGCTATGAGATCAAGGTTAGCTACTTTTGCAAAGCAAGAGCTCATGGAATTTACCTCCCTCTAACCAGGAACCTGAGGAGATTGCAAAGTAGATCAGACGTGGGAGAGAGAAACAGAAGTGTTGCCTATGGTAGCCCAATGCCATTATTTATTTATATTTTAATGTAATCCCTGACGATTTTATTTTGTAATAATTTTCCATCTATCTTATAGTGTTTCCAAGATGGAACTTTGTCTTGCTCTCAAATGTCCAACCATTACATCTGTCACTAGCGATGGAACAGTAACTAGAATCTACTGTAAGGAAATCAAATGAGAAAACAAAACTGACACATTCATTTTAAGCTGCATCATATAACAATGGCTCAGAGCCCAGTAGTTTATGAATGAAATAAAGATACTTTATTTATTACACAGGCACTTGGAGATTCACATGCCCAACACATCTGATACACTTAACAACTATGGAAACACGAGTGGAAAATGTCTGTTTGTAGGATCAAGAGAGAACTTTCACCATGTAAAGGTAAATGAGTGCATTAACAATTTTTCCTTTACTTTCCTCTAAGAATTTAAAAATCCACTAAATTTTTAAAAGTTACACTTGAAATAATATGCAACAAAAACTGATCCACATTCCAACTGGTAAGCTAACTTGAACTGTGAGCAATTTAAACTTTTATCACAATGAAACATATTTGTACTCATGCTTGAACAGGTTAGGTTAGTAGCATGCATTCCATTCTGCAATATGAATATTGTTAATCTATTTGCCAACAAAATTCAAAAGATGCCCAGTGCATAGAAAAATACAAATATCACTGTAGTCAATATATTACGGGACTGATCTTGGGACTTACATGGTGATGATGAGTCCTGAAATGCCATGCCCACAAAAGCACATTAAAAAGTGGATAAACATATTTTATCAGACAACCTCTAAAAATTAAAAATGAGAGCTTTAAATTTGGGGAATGTTCTTGCTGTGTGCTTTGAACAGGGCCTTTCTGCTCACCTCCTTCTGGCTTGACTGGTCCATCAGACATCACCTTCCTGAGGGCTAGCTGGCTTTGGTCTTGGTTGCCATTGGCTGGTGGAGGCAGATTATCAGACTGAGTTCTTTGAATGGGGAGGACTCCTGCTATGCTGTGTCTGTGCTGCTTCCTGGCATGATTAGACTGACCGCTTTTATGTGCTGCTGTGGCAGTGTGGGTGAAATGGAAACCCAGAGTATGTATCCTCAGATGGAACCAGCTTAAATGTTATTCATGCAAACAGAAGTGCGCTTTTGCTCTATTTAAATAAGTTGTGTTTTCAAATGCCAAAATGACACCACATGCACAGCACTAAAGGGGGTTAAAACTGGCTGTTTCTTTGGAAGTGATGGCTAGGGAAATGGAGAGAACAACGATCTGTCTCCATTGCCTGGCTAATGCCTTTTAGAAGAAACAGGGCACCTACATTTGTGAAATATCTGCACTTATTAAGCTTTTATATAACTATATCAATTGACTAAATTTTCACAAATGAAATAAAAGTACAGCAGTTAAGATAGGTGAATTGTTACACTTTGATTGACTTATAGCTACCAGACATAGCATATCTTGATTTCCAATGGTTCGAAAAAAAATCTGTAAAATCTGTCATCACATACAAAGTGTGCTCCAACAGAATGGACCCAATTGTGCTCCTTAGTGAGGCTGCATTGCCTCATCACATACACTTATACATATATTAAGACTATGTAGTTTTTTAAGAAGATGAGATATATTATTTTCTTTACAGATTTTTCAGAAGACTACAAATTTTTGCACATGGAAAACACCCACATTTCACAAGTATAATTTATTAGGGTTTTAAAGCACTGTCTTGAAATGGCTTTTCCTCCAAGGGTCTAGAAGTGGACTGTTGGTTGCATTACCTTCTGTCTAGACTTATTGAGTGTTTTCAGATACAAGAATCTAATTGCGAATCCGCTCTAAATACTTATGTGTGTGCACTTTTTTTTTTTTGGTATAAGGCCTGGAAAATTGGCAGCCACTTGTGCTTATAATTTCTGTATTCTAAAAGATATTCAAGCACAAACGAAAAGGACACAACATTGCTTTGCCTCCAAACATCACAGACACTGTACCAAATACTATGAGCCAGGTTGGATGGATGGTGGAAACAAAGGAGAAACAGCCAGTTTTATTTCAGTCTATGTAAACAAAAAAAAATCTAAATAAGAAAGAGCATATTTATGTATTGATATTGTTCTTACACAGACAAAGGGACAGAGAACAGAGTGAGCAGAGGATGTCGAAAACTGAAAGCAAACAGGAAAGGACAGCAGGAAAGAAAGGCAACAGATGAACATTAAGCTGCCATGCTGAGGAATTTATTTGCGTCTTTTACTTGGTTGAATGCGGAGTTGTTGCACGGCGGCTTCGGCAGCAGCTATGGCAGCCCCTGCATCTTCCAGGTGGGTTTGAGTGACGCTGGTTTTGCTTTGACTGCGAGAGGGTCCATGAGAACGGAGATGGCCTTCTGATGATGATTTTGAGCTACCAGGACTACTATGGGATTTCTCAATGGTGGGAACCTGCATGTCTGGTCACAAAAGGGTAAAACGTAAGTTAAAGTTGTTCCAGCATTTCTCCTGTCAAGCTTGGTCTGCACATAATCTGAAACTGTCTAAAATTTATGTTAATTTTGTGTCTTATATGGCTCATTTATGCAAGTGGTCACCATACAGAACTGTGATTAAACATCTGGGAAACAATTCGGGGGAGCAAAGGCAAAAGCATGATAGTAATAAGAAGAGATAACTTTGAAAAGAGAAATAAATTCTAACTAGCTTCTAGTAATATATATTAATTTCTGGTTACACCAAGGACCTCTGCTAATTCCAGTAGAGGTCAGGTAGGAGACAGTAGGCTTATACTGCCACAGGAGGAGTTTCATGCAAAAACAGAGTGAAGGATGTGAGTCACTAGGACATATTAAATGTGGAGATTACAGAATTATGCCTCAAACCATTGTAGATATCACATATTTCCTACGGCAGTCATAGAGAAAGATATATATTTATATTAATGATCTTGCAGAATGTTAAGCAACAAAGAGTTGAGATGGCTAAGTGGAATCCATAAATGATCTATAAAACTCATTCATAAATAACCTATAGCACTGATAGGCAGTGGTTTATGTTATCAACTCAGTGGCCTACTGGACATGGACTCACTTTCTCATCTCCTAGAACACTTGCATTTACGACTCGGAGAATCTCATGTACAAAGAACCACTTTTCAATTTGATGTACTTTCTTAGAAAAGGTGACAAGGAAGCAATACTCAAGTCCAATATAAAAATTATATTTAATATTTATAGTTAAGTATATCTAGGTAAGGTACCACATGTTTATCCCACAGAGGCAGTAACTCAGTTTATGATGAGGATTAATGTTGTGTTGTAGGACAGTTGGTGAAGAGCTTCTCAGGGGAAAAGCTCATTTGAATGAGAGTGCTGTACATACTTGCATATTGCCATATGCAGTGTATGGCACTGTTAAAAAATAGTAACAATTGTTAAAAAATTAGCTAGAGTCCAACATTTATGAAAGACTTAAGTAAATTTCAGCACGCCAATTGTTTTGATGACAGGGGAAAATATTCTTTGTAGGATGAATAATAGGTAGCATACAAAATTATATTTATGGGGCAAAACAATATTTATGGACAACCAGCGATTCAAACTATTAGAAGGATTATACCTTAATTATGTCTACTTAATGAACTGGTAGAAATTTTTATATTATCTTTATGAAATACCCAAATGCATTTTCTGAAATCATGTTATCATAGATTTTGAGGTGGAATAGACCACATAGCTCATCTAGCCCAAATTCCTCCATTTTATATGTTGAAAAATGAACAGTTAGAGAAGTGACGATCATAAAATCATACACCTAAGCATGCATGATGATCTGAGTCTAAAGCCCGTTTCTCCTGATTCCATATCCATCACTCTTTGCACGACATTATAGTTATATTAAGTATTTTTCAGTAGTGTCTAATTTGTTAATATATGTTAAATATACAAACATTCACACTAAGAAGATACAGACTGAACAAACAGACACAAAACTTTTTCTACTTAAAAAAATATTTCCTACCCTTTGATGGGTCAGGGAAGATACCATGGCTTCTGCTTTTTATAACAGATGGCTTTGGAGACTGCTGGCTGCCCTGACTGGAATGAGACTTGCCATGATCAATGCTTTCAGTCTGTTCTTTGAGAGGATACCACCTTGGAGTGTTATCGAGGTGAGATGTGCTAGATAAATCAATCAATACCTGAAAAAAGTATAATAAATAAATGAAATTTAGGGACTGAAGTAAAATTGATTCATTGCTTTTTCTATGTTCTAAGATTTATTCAAGATTATAAACCAAAAAATACAGTATAATTTTTGAGGATGATGATTCTGTCTTCCTCATTTTTCTTCACCAATGAAACTGGAAACAACGTCTTGTGCATACAAGATGCTTAATAAACGTTTGCCTGAACAGAACTGTATAACATTTTTGACTATTAAATTATTTGAATATGATGTGAAAAGATAGGGTCACAAGTCAATCTGTTCATAACACAAAACTTCTTTTTGTTGTAAGAATTCATTCTAATCTTAAACTGGACCAGCAACCTCGAAAAATGTTTGATTTTAGTCACAAAAGGGACAAAATGAAAAAGAATGAGTAAGTTGCAATTAGGAATGTATTTCTTCTATTTTAAAACACACTTTAGTTTGCCTTTGAAATAGGGATATGACTAACACATTTTTGTCATGGTTTAGTTTGCAACATTCTTTTTCTTAGTGCATTTTACAGTTGCTGACATCTTAGATTTGATGAGCTAAAAAGAAATGAAAACCAGACCAATGGATATATATTTTTAGGCTCATGTAAACATAAGATCATAAATTAGAAGGACTTAAATAAGTCACTTTTTTGAAATGAGTCATAAAATCAGATACTAATCTAGAGTGCTCCTGCCTAAGATCAGAATTAGTCCAAATGGTTAGACCTGGAGGGGGCTGGAGGGCAAGGAGCAGGTGCTCTGGTCTTGGTGAAAAGAGAGGTGCACACAACCAAACAAGGCCTCATTACCACCTTGATTACATGACTGTTTTATATCGTCTCTATCAAAAGGATATCATATTTTGTAGGTTTTGGATTTTTCAGAGATTATTTTTAACATTCATTCCTAACTTCTGCCTTAAGCAGAGCACTAAACAATGTGTATGTGTATATGAATTATATACACTATTTACATTATATATAGTATATACATCTTATATATTATATACATTATATATATACTGTATACATACAATTGTATAGAATACATAACATATAATGTATATATACATTATATATAGTATACATTATGCATTGCATATATACCCATATACATTGTATATGTGTAATATGTAATATACATGTATTTATACAGTGCATATGATACATATATATACAGTGTGTACATATGTATTATATATAATGTTCCTATATACAATATGTATATATATATATCTATTATGTTCCTATGTATAAACAATATGTGTATATATGTATCTATAAAGTGTATATATATAAAATAGATTAAAAATTCACAAGATCCGTTCACTCTAACAATTTCATTAGGTTATTTATTTTTAAATTTTTCTAGGTATATAGTAAACATATATATTTATGGGGCATATGAGATATTCTGATACAGGTGTACAATTAGGTTATTTTGATTCCTTGATGTTAATGTAAAAGTTATTTTTATTGTTTTCTCCCACTTGTAGTTTTGCTTCTTAAAATGTTTTCAGTAGTTTTTCTCAGGATACTTAATTATACATAACAATGTGATATGTCACATCAAATCAATGAAGGCACCTGAAAACACATTTTTAAAAGTCCAGGTCATTTTATAATATAATATATTTGTTACTTCAAATCTCATTTAGACTCACAGTATGATTACATATTTTTCTGTTGAAAAAATATTTCATCTTAGAAATTAATTATAAAGTACATCAAGTGATAGACTGAAAATCATTTTCGAGTTGCTATTAATCTACTCAAAGAATAAATCAGAAAATAAATTTTATCTGCCAAAAGATTTTATTCAAAATGGCTGTCTTATAAACTTCAGAAACCTGCTTTAGTTGGTGGTTTACCATAGAAGCAATTAAGGGAAAGGAAGTCAGAGGCTTACCTCCCCAAGAAAGTCGTTGGATGAAAATCTATCATAATCCCAAACTGTCACCTCCAGTGTTTTCTTCTTGAGCTATATAGTTCAAATAAAAATCTAATTAACCCCATCTTTCCATCATACATTTTCATTACACACATACAGTAAACATATTTATTTTTACTTCCTTAAACTCCTTCTATTTATGTGAAAATACTTAAAATTTTGCCAAAAACTATGTAGTTTAAATATATTAAATATTATGTAAAATTTGAGTGATTTTGCAGTCTAAACTAGTATTTGATCACATGGAACATTATTATTTTGTGAACAAAATATTAAAATGTTAATTCCAACTTTTTAATTCTATCCCCACCTCATTTTTAAAATAGCAGAATTTTAAAATACTCTAAATATAAGAAATTCATAGACTGTAAAAATGTCTAGGATTATTTAGATGAAGTATTTGAATTAGATGTTGTTTCAGCAATTTCCAAAAAACATAGTAGCACTGTCTTATTTCTGCAGGTGAGTTTATTTTAAATGCATGAGACCAGATTATAATTTATATCCAGCTTCAACTTTGTAATCAAATTAATCTACTAGAAGACAAATAAAGAACCTCATTTTGAAAGACAGTTCACTTGTAAATTGGTTTATATGGAACTGCCTTTGTAGTCTTCTATCTGAATTCAACCTTATAAATTTTGGTTATTGTCTGTAACTCAAGCGAAGTTATAAAAATGCAGATTTTCAGAAGCACATTAATGTAAATTTGCCCATAGCCACTTATCTGTGGTGAAAATCTTTTATGCTAGTCATTTTGCCCACTTCTGTAGAGGTTAGTACCACAATGCCAGATTCTCAGGAGGACTCATTTTAGCAAACAGATGAGTTCCTGAAATATTTTCTGGTGGAGTAACACAGTTCTATGCATTGAAACATATTTTTTCTGTGTATTGTTTTTGAAAGTCAAAATACAGCCAGTTGGAAAATATATTTCCCTCTTAAATTTGATAAATGTGGCTTAGAATAATAAAAATGTTAAATTCTGAAATAATTAATGGAAAATATTCCACTAGTTTTCTTATTTGTTTATGTTTTGGTTGTTTTGTCAAAATGTGCTGCACATTTACTTTCATTCTATGTTCAGATGTCACTCATTTTTTTTTCCATTGGCTACATTTCTTACATGTATTTTATTTAACTCTTTTTGTTTGATTGGAAAAATGTATATAGATCCCAATCTTTGAATAATTGTGTTATCACTGTACTTATATTAGCCTAATTTTGTCACCTAGAAATAATCTTTACATACCTGTTCCATGGAAATACTTTTATAAATTACTGTTTGATTCCACTCAGGATTAAGACTTTTCTGAACATATTTAGTCCTTCTCTTGTACTCAGCACTGAATTTGGAGAAAAGAGAGTTATCTTGATTATTCACCTTAATTGATGACTTCATGGTTAAACTAAAGGACATGCAGACTATTCATCATATTTTATTTTGAATCATTATATAATTATCTCATCATCCTCATGTCTTAAACCTTAGTTTAAGTTGAATGCACAGTGATAATTTAAAAATATACTGGATGCTTGTAGTTTCCTTTGCCCTAATGATTACTTTTTTAAAGAAATGCTTGTAGGTGTTCTAACTATACTATAATTTCAGAAATCTTACTCTTTCCTGAATGTAGGAGATAATTATATGAACTAAATGGTAACATCAATGTTATTGGCCATAAACAATAATTTGGTGTTTAACTTTCCTACAGTTTTGTACCTACAGAAAAGCAAAAGGAAAACATTGTAATGATTGTACTGACTGAGAAAAGGATGAGGAATGGCTGTTGCTGTGGCTGACATTCCATAAGCACTTGTTATCTAATATTTAAAGTCTATTCCAACACTCTTGGTACAGTATATTTAATGTAGCTATAAAGCAATTTTAATTAAATATAAATTCTTGGTTTATGTCCATATGTTATTTTACAATTGATGAACCAAATAAAAATCTTTCCTCATTTATTATAACTTGCGACATTTGCATTAATCCTTGACTTTCCATTTCCTCTGAGCACCTAGAAGCTTATATGCTACACATTTAAAAACAACTTATTTTCAAAGCCTATGCTAATTAAGTCTGGCAGAACATCTATAGCGGGCACCAAACCAGCTAATGGGGTTGAAATTAGGTTACTGTTATCTACTATTACCAAATGGTGCCCACACAGACAAGGTCTTTCTCTAACTCTCATTGCTTTTTTCTGAATTTTCTGCCTAAGCTTATGTCTCATGTTCTAAATAATACTTCATCTCTGGTGGGCACTGGAGTCCTGCAAACCAACCTCTTTGTCTGGGGGTCTTGACACGTGTCTGGACTTCACAAGTTGCCTTTCCTTAAAAAGGGCTGGATCCTGAGCCTTGTAATCTCTAGTTCTATTCCAAACTGCCAGACTAACTCTTGCTACATTCCTGGTCTGAAGTATTGCCGTACCCTGGATGCCTAGAATTTTTCCCCTGCCACTAATTTACCTATACATTCTAGAGGAAGCTGTTGAGAATTAAACTCCAGCTCACCGCTCACTTTTAAAGATGGGCCTATAGGAAAGTACTTTCCTTGTCTCACTGATTTTATTTTCTTACCAGTCAGATACAAAGGAAGTAATTCTCAACACTACATAATAGGATCACCTGAGTTCTGGTGGTGGGAGGTGGGTCAGTCAATCCTCCACCCACATCCCTCTTACTCCTGCTTACACCCCAAATAAAAGTATGATTTAATTAGTCTGAGATGAGGATTGAATATTAGGATTTTTGAAAGTTCCCAGGTAAATCTAATGTGTAGCCAAGATTAAGAAGCACTGAGTTGGTGTTTCATACACTTCACAAGTCAGCCATTGTAAATGGAATCCAATTGAAGAAATAGAGCAGCATTCCTCCCACTTCAACCTATTTGAATATGCACAATTAAGAGCAGAATTTGACAGTTGTCACACAAGATAAATTAGAAACATTTTTAGGGAAATGTACAGACAATGATTTAAAGAGAGGAACTCTTACAGACTGTGGATAGCAAGTTTATATAAGTTTCTACATACACTTTTAGATAAATTTGTCAATAACTGTTGAAATTTATGTTTATATACCCAGACATCCACATATGCCATTTTTACTAATTCCACTTCTACCATAGAGAAATTCTCCTACTTGTGCACTAGAAATTTGTTCAAGAACATTAATTGCAACGTTATTTCAATAGTAAGCCAATAGAAGATGAATAAATACATTGTGATATATTCATTTCAATAAAATAGTGACACCTGAAAATGAAGTAAATGAATTTTTAAAACCTCTATATATCAAGAGAGCTATATCTTGAAAAAAGTTTTGATCAAAAACAATATAGTGAGGTATAATGGTATAAAGATAAAATCATGTGAAATAATATTATACATTATGTATACGTGTATATATGACATACATATATTAATATAAAATAAAACTTGTTAATTATGAACACTAAACTCAATTTAGTGAGTTTTTTTTTGATAGACAGGGAAGTCATTTCATAGGACTTCAGGATATGAGCTTTTATTTCAAAATATCTAAAACAAATATAGCAAAATGTTAACATTGGACAAAACTAGATAGCAAGTGTGCTTGCTATATAGGGTATTTTCTATTTTTAGTAAACTTAAAATATTTTATAACTAGAAAATTCAAAAATTTTTAGTAAGATATGTTGCTTTAAATTTAGTTTTGAATTCTTTTTTTTTTTTTTGATGTTGACATGGAACTGACTTAATTTGATGGTGACAGAAAGAATGTGTCTATAGAAAAGTATCTACACAGAATACATAGAAAGAGTTAATAACTTGCTCAAGCCTGTAATCCCAGCACTTTGGGAGGCTGAGGTGGGTGGATCATGAGGTCAAGAGATCGAGACCATCCTGGTCAACATGGTGAAACCCCCGTCTCTACTAAAAATACAAAAAATTAGCTGGGCACGGTGGCGCGTGCCTGTAATCCCAGCTACTCAGGAGGCTGAGGCAGGAGAATTGCCTGAACCCAGGAGGCGGAGGTTGCGGTGAGCCGAGATCGCGCCATTGCACTCCAGCCTGGGTAACAAGAGCGAAAATCCGTCTCAAAAAAAAAAAAAAAAGAGTTAATAACTTTAAGTTGATAGTGACATAGAAAGAATTAGTGACTACTTTTAAATTAATAATAAACTTGGATAGCCTTTAAGAATCATGGCTATTCTCATAGGTGAATATACGTAGGAAACAAATGTGGTAATATGAGTTTTAATCTCTGTTTGGTTTGAACTTATTTATGAAGGTAGTGAGGTTATGATTTTAATGATTTATTATTAAGATTTATAATATATTTAACAGTAATAAAATTATGTTTTTTAAGTTCTAAAAAATATATAATTTGTTTAACAAGATGGGAATTAATACCAAAAGCAAACCCATGTACTTTCACTTAAACTCTGGGTCTGCAAATATATAATAGTCTGCAGTAGTATTGAAATATCCTCAAAGGGATTTAACAGTCACTATCTTTTCTTACTCCATACTTATGAATAATTGATATCCAAATTTCTCATATCCACATCTAGTCTTTTTTTTTTTCACTTATACACATAGCAAAAATTATTCAGTGCCAACTCTGCATCAGGAATTGTAAATCTCTATCAAGTAAAAATCCCTAATTGTATTGATATATGATTATATGTTTGATTCATATATGAAAAAAATTGTTAAAAGTAAGTACATTAAAAGCATAACTAATGTTTATTAAATGCCTAATTTTTTCTCTGGTGAAGGTCCAAGCACTTTTCATGTGTTAACTCATGTAATCCTCATATTAACCCCATTATACAGGTATATTCCATTTTATAGATGAGAAAACTTGAAGCTCAGAAGAATTAAGGCATGTTGTCAAAGTTGCATAGTTATTAACTGGTAGGAATAGAATTCAAACACAAGGAATTTGATTTCTTGCTCTTAAATGTTATTTGAACTTAATTGATCAGGCCCATCATAAAATATGACATCTATCTATTTTCTTAATTGCAGGCTTCACTACCTGAAGTATCTAGTCTGTCTTCTTTATAAGCTAAAATTCTCCACTTCAATTTAAATATATATATATATATATATTATACATATAATACAAATTATGTATAATGTGTGTACAACATGAACAAGTTGGGCCATCTTTAGAGTTGCCTAGGGAAATTCTGAATGGTACATCTTTAGTGAATATTGTGGAACAATTAGGCCTACTCATTATAAATACTGATTTTTGACTAGATACATTTAGAAATAAACTAAACTGATTGGACAAAAGTTGAAATGTTCATTTTAATAGAGTATCTTAATCATATGAATGAGTTTGCTTCTCTAATTCTCTCCAGACCTAAAACATCCAATGCCTTTAGAATTAATGAAACTAAAAACAGCTTGCTCCTAAACACCAATAAAAGCCTTTATGGTATGTTTTGCCCTTCCATTTCCTGATAAGCAGAGCTGGTCACACAGAGCCATTCTTCAATAACACTTGTTTTATAACTACCATGTTCTGATCATCTCATACATGATTTCAGTGATCTGCGTTGCCACTTAACACAATTTAAAACTCTATACAAAATAGTCATATCAAAATCTGTGGATTTATAAGTTGAAGGTAGGCAGGTAAAGGTGTATTCTTGAATGTGAGCATAAATTCAGCCTGAGAAATAAGTGGAGTTCATCCTCCTTTTCCTTCTTGTCTGGTGAACAAACTATATATTCCCTTGTGGGACAATTACATTAATGATTTAACATTAGGACAATTAGGCTATATCTAATAATCAAAGAAGTTTCTTCATAAGGCAAAATGAAAAGGTCAATAAATAAAGATGGAACATGGTGCTTATCAGAAAATATCTAAAACTTCACCCCCTTGAAGTTTTGACTGGTTTATTTTTATTAATTTGTTTTTATTGGCCATTTGTCATGCATAGGTATATAGACTTTTAATGCTATCTGAAAAATATTTGAAATTCAATTATTCTACTCAAAACCAGCAGGAAAACAGTTTTCCATATATATATTTTTTAATTTCAAAAGAAAAACTGAGAAAAGATAATGAAATCTGAAGACTTCTTTGGTGTTATCTACTTTTATAAAATTATCTAAAACATTGAAGGTATTCATTTTTAGTGTTTTATCTGGTTTTCCTTTACTAAACTTACTACACACACACACACACACACACACACACACACACACGTTTTTCAAAATTACTCTTCTGAGGTTGTTTCTCTTAATATAGAAAGAAAAACAACCTGTATCCCATTTTGTAAGGTCTGTTTAATGGTGTAATGGTGTGCTTATTGTCTATCATTTTATTTTCCTCTTTGCTCTCTGATGGCAGAGACTATGGCTACATTGTCAATTGTAACCCCTGCACCCAGCAGTGTCTGGTACATAGACTGCACTAAGTAAATGTTTGTTCAGTGGTCCTAAAAATATACTTGTATTTTGTTTTCCTTTAAAGTCTATTGAAGTGAAATAAATTATGGAAATCACATTGTAAATACACACACCTGTACCTGCCTTCCATAGGTCCCAGAGGAAATAGTTTGATAGACTACCAATGTTGTTTAGACAAAGGTCCAGCCAAGAATTGGGCTTCCAGGTATAATGACAGCTAAAAATAATTACGTTCATAACAAAATCTCATTAATGAGAACATATTGTCACTTTGCTGAACAGTGTGATGAGAGAAAACCAGAGCAAGGCCCTTCATATATGCTCATTCCAATTTCTTAATCATCAAAGGGCAAGTATAGAGTTCATGCACTACTCAGACTCTTTCCTTGTCATCCTCTCATCTTATCTTGCCTGACATTTGGCCCTTCAGAGCTTGAATATATTGATTGAGGGTGGGAAGAAGAAATTAAAGGAGACAAGGAAACCAGATCAGTATAATTTTTAGTTAACAGGACTTTAAAAAAATTTAACAATAAAAGATGTATTACATTATTAACAAAGAGTTGTATAATTTTCTATATAGTGTTGTTAACTAATTTAGTATAATTCAGTAGCTCAAGCATTCTGAATTATCCGTTGCAGAGATAACTAACCACTGGTTACATAAAATGTATAATAAACATTGCTAGCAATAATAACAATTACCATTACGAAAACATATTATGTGCCAGATGTTATGCTTATCATTTTTGATGTATCTATTTCATGTATTTCACGGAAATAAGCCTGGGAAGGGAGCTGTTACTATTCCTATTTTGCGGAAGGGGAAATAGTTTTGGAGAAATCTTACAGCTTCTAAATGACAGGGCTAAAATTGAAACCCAAGTTCTTAAGGACCTCACTCATTGGCTTCCATAGTCTAACTTACAATGTCAGTACCTAGTCAGTGTGATTCCCTCTTACATTGACAATCCTCAAAGATATGGTGAAAGTGATTTCTAGATGAAAATATAAGAAAGTAGCTTCTAGATCTTTTAAATACTTATCTAAGACATGCCATTATTGACATTGATAAAATATTCTCTTTTCTAAATTAAATACAATCTCTCATTCTGAAAATTTCTCCCACTTTCTATAGATAAAGGGAGATTCTGAATAATGTGGTTAATAATATCTGTTATAAAAATAACACTATGTCTTTGAAACAAATCTAATTTTGCATATGAGCCTGAGAGACCTGGATTGTGTTGTGTGATAAGAGAACCAGCCATAACAAGGAATCCATCACAGTGTCAATTACATTGTTTGCCATAATTATGCGGCTGTAAGGAAACAAAAGTTTCTGGGCAATAGCAAGGCTGTGGTAACTAATACTATTGTTTGCAATATTTACATATTTATGTTTTTAAAAATCAGAAACAGCCTCTTTTGGGCAGCAGCTCATTAGCAGTAAAGATGTCAAATTTTAATCTCACAGGCAAAAATGAATGTTGTACCATTAATAATCTGGGTGGCATTAAAATCCTCATCACCCTATTGCTATGGATTGTACATGATTTGCCTTTCCAACTAAATGACACATTTAATTTATAACTCAATGAGAGATGGGCAAAATAATGCTTTTGGCTATATACTAAAAATTTGCCTTAGTTGACAGTGTAATAATGCAACTTGTTGTGAGCTATATTAGGAAACACTATAGGGAACAAAGGAATTTTCTCTTGTTGCCAGTACACTATAGCAAGCCAATTATTGCATCCTACATTGCATAGCAGAAATTGTGGGGCAGAAGTTATAAAGGCATGAAAATGTTTCAACATTAGGTTCAAGTGAGGGACCAAGTTCAAACCCCTATTATCTTTAAGATGGGAAACACACCAGGCACTGGACATCCAGAACACCCTTTACTTTTGAGAAGTGACTATAGATATTTTTATTTGTAATAGAAGACTCAAGAGAATTTAATTCATGATTATCATGTGAGAAGCTAAATGAGTTTTAGTGGATAGATTATAAATGAGACTTTAGCTATATCTAATTCCATAGTAATAATATTTCTTTATTCATATTTTCCAAGTTTTTAATATTTGCTACTTTTCTGTTTTCTATTGCACACATCTGCTAAAGCTATTTAGCAATATGCTCAGAACAATTTGTTATAGACCTGATTCAATAAATACAAACATGTAGAAAAATATAGGTTACAGCCCATGTCAAAGTGCAAATGAACGTACATAGAAATGCAAAAAGTATAACTTAAGACATAACAGCACAGCTTGACACTGAAAGAGAAACAACTCTACCTTGCATTCTGGACAACCATGACTTGACTGCATTGATTCCAAGAGCGAAAGTGAAGGATAAAACAGAAAAGTAGGAAAGATAGGAAGAAAATTGTTAGAAACAGAAATAAGAAAGAAAATACAAAAATAATAATGAGAGGAGCTATTCCATAACACATAAATAACATGAGGCAGAAAATAACGCTAGAACTACAGTGAAAATGGTATCTTGCAAGTATAATACATTCGAAGGCCTTTGCTTGTCTAATAATTAGAAGTAATTGAAAGAAAGACCTAGGAACTGAATAAGAGCATCTTATTAGCTGCCTTTGAGCCAAATCTCCCCAAGTAGGGATGTTTTGTTCGACAATTGGCATGAGGATAGCTTTGGGTGGGGTATTTGCTCTCCATTTCACTATGGTTCCCACCATTTCTTGTTACTCATCCCAGTCTGTACATTCTAATTGACACATATCCCATAATAAATAAAAGATAGGTACTCCCATATTGCATAAAAGATGATATTACAGGATATCATTAGAGAATATAGAATATCAACAACAGTGCTTTATTTTCATTCTTTCATTTGCAAATGCTAGTTACAGACAAATCCTTGGCAGTGATTTCCCCTTGTATCATAATATTGTCATTAAATAACACTGAATGTCCAGTGACCCAAATCAAAGGCAAAATGAAGTTATCAGTTTGTTGTTGTTAGACTCTAAGAGATGTTGCCAAATAATAGTTACAACTATTATATATAGATATAAATGAATTAACATAAGACCAAAATTACCCTTTCCTATACTATGTGACTATTGGTAAACTCTACGTAAAAGTATTAGGTTTTCAAAATGTTCAATAAATTAAAATTAGAGCAACCATACCAACAATTCCAAGGTTTTAAGATAAAATTATTGAGAAGGATGAAATTAAAAGCTGTGAACTACATTTGATATAGTGCCTGGCAATTTAAAAGTTATTTTATGAGTATTATCTAATTTGGTTCCCCTGACAAGCTAAAAATGATGATTCTGCCTACCTTGGCTCTCAGTGTTGACAAGAAAACTGAATCTCAAAGAAATTGGTGATCTGCCTTTGATGATATAAATACTAGGCAGTAGATTCAAATGTAGTGTATAGCTGTAATTGGGATCGCATTTAAACAAAACAACTATAGTCAAATAATACACTTCATATAATTAAAATGCTTTTAAATTTGCCACAGATTATGTCTTAGAAAATAGTCTATTTTGTTGAATGCTCCATGTGTACTTGAAAGGAATATGTAATTTGCTATTGATGGGTAGCATATTCTATAAACATCAATTAGATCATCAAATCAACTAGGAAAATATGATGAAGCAACTGAAGAATTATTAAAAAAATTTACAATTGTGGTTATACAAGATATAAAGGTTATTTTTAAATAAGTTTTATTTTTCAGAAATACACACTAAAATATTTGCAGAAATAATTATAATAGCTGGGATTTACTTCAAAATAATATGAATAAAGGGAGTATATGAGGAAAAATGAAACATGATTGGTCACTAAGTAATAACTGCTGAGGCTAAGTGATGGGTACATGGTGGGTCAAATTATTCCTTCTACTTGTGTGTAACAATGGAAAATTTCCAAGCTAAAAAAAAATTTAAATGTCAATCCCCAAATTAAAAGGAAAATGAATAAAAAATAAAACCAGTTTAATTTATCAACTCAAAGTTCTTTTTATTTCATTTCCATTTGTTGATTTTGTTTCCCATCTTGCTAATGTGGCTGATAAGAATTGTTCAAATGAAGGATAATAATTTGTAGGGTTCAAATCAGGGTTTTGAAACCATCCTTGTGTACTGACTTATATACCAGAACACAGCAATTTGCATTCATTATGTGAAAGTTAAATATCTCCAATGAATATTGCTTATATCAATAATTTATATATCACACAAGAGAGTCAAAGAGATTTTTAAAAATTTATTTACCAAAGTCAATACTTCAAATATTACTTTGTGTTAGTTTATAATTTTTAAATCAATGATTTGGAAATATGCATATAAATAAAGATACATCAGGAAGCCATTAAATAACCAATATATTGGAAAATACATGTCCTATAAAAATAAACAGTAACTTGTAAGTCCTTGAATATTGATTTCTCAGATAAATTTTGAAAGGCAAGTCAATTCTTTAACTTTGACACAAATAATTCCTTAAATTATTTCACAGTCAATCTGATAAGTCATCATAGGAGTGGTTTCCAGAAATGAAAGGCTGATATGCTCTCTTGGAAGCTATTTTATTATGATCACTCACTGTTTTTCTAGAACCCCTTAAGGCTTAATTACAAGTTTTTAATTCTACCTTATCTACTAATTGGAAATAAATAAATATGACACGTGGAGAAAACCAAGGAAAAGATAATAAACTCAATTAAAATGAGGCATTGAAATTAAAGATTAGAAAGCACTATACTATTTTTTAAAAAAACATGGGGTGAAATACTTCTTCACTTTACTTACCCTCTCCCTGGAAGAAGGTACACTTTCACAAAAGGGTCAGAATAACCATTGTTGTCTCGAGGAACGAGATTTCTTGCTTGGAGAATATGTATTATGAGATTTCCAAGATCATAGTTAATTTGAAGCTTTAGGAGACAGAAAAATATTCCGTAAGTATTTATACATTATCATTCAATAATTACTAGTGGTTTAAAAAATTCTCATACGCAGCATGAACTTTCATTTTCATTTTATTTGAAACCAAACAGACCAGTTAATGTCTATTTTAATTGAGAGTTCCTAGGCATATTTTAATTCTTAGCAAACATGCTGCTCATTCTCTCCACAGTGAAAAGACATGGCCTGTTTAAAGTTTCTTTAGAAGGAAGATTATATGGTAGAATGCTGGTTGTATTTTTAAATTAAATTGCTACTCTTAGGAAAATAGTAAATGTTGTTAATGTTTATTAACAACAATTCCCAGAATTTTGAAAAGAAATTAATTGGTAAATTATTAGGAAATATCATTTGCACTTTGCTACATAATTAGCAGCAGGTAGAATTGTCATTTAAAGACAAAGCTGTCGGTACTGAAATGTAAGAATATTTAAGAATACACAGACTATTACCTCATTTTATGTTACATTATCTGATAAACCTGTAAATTCCTTTTGGCACTTGCTTTCCTAATAGAGTGAAATATTAGAATAATAATTTTTTTTTAATTTTAGAAGCTGAAAAAAGAGGCATTGCTTTATAGATGCTTACTGGCTGTTGCACAATTGTGGCTGAATACTAAAAGATATATAATTCAAACAAATACTTGAGAAAACTGCATAATTTAAAATAATTGCATTAAGTAATTTTTTCTTTTACAATTGAAAGACTCTTTTGGCATCATTTAGAATAAACCTTAATTCTGTTTGATGTTATTTTTGTTTATTAAATAATAGAGAAGAAGGGATCCACATTTCAAAGGATAAATCCATATAGAAAAATACTAACTTTTAAAACAATCCATACAAAACAGATATGCTGCATTTATATTTAAAATAGAATAACTCAGATGAGTCATACTTTCATGTAAAACTTCATAATGAAAATAAATCCTCATTTTAGCATAAGTTTGATCTTATTATGTTTCCTAGCAGAAAATAAATCTTCAACTGCTTATCTCAACCCAGAAAAGCCTAGGGTTCCTGACCATGATAAAAGCACAGTGAAAAAGAAAGCAAAATACCATTAAAGAAGAGGAGAAAGGAGAAGTGGAGAATTGTATGCCATCATACAGTAATTGTATGCTATAATCTGGTACTGAAATACAGAATATAAAATAACCTATAATTAATAACACTGAAATTTCAAACAGCTTCCAGATCTTTAGTTAAGGAGAAGTACTTCCCCATTCTCTCCTTTCTCTGCCAGCCTTAAAGTCTACTTTTAACTGATGAAGGACCCAAACCATTTTTTATTGAAATGAAAACTGGCAGGGTACCCGAAAAGAGTGCTTTTCAAAATTTGCTCTGTATGACCTTCGGGAATGTCTACAGTTGCTCTGGGTCAGCTTTGAGAGAGAATGGGATGCCCCAGCAATCTGCAATCGCAGCGACTCCAGTGCTGACAGAGTCATGGTTTGGGTTTCTACATAAGGTTTCATTTGAAATGAGCCTTTGTAAAAGAAAATAATAATAATAATAATAATAATAATAATAATTGAAATCACTTCCTTAAGAAAATATTCCCCAAACTAAGAAGGAATAATACTAGGGTAAATTTCAACTATAGAATTACATTGTACTCCTTAAATGAAAGCAAAATAAAATTAGAACAACAACAATCAAAACAGAAAACATGGTCCAAAGGAAATACTAGTCAAGGACAGAAGTTTAAAAGAAGTTAGAAAGAGAAAGAAGTCTATAAGAATCAGAAATTCTAGCATTTTCTTTGCTGCTTGTGAAATGAAGAAAGATCAGGTCTGGTGAAAAACTGGCATTTTGGAAGTTGGAAATAGCAGAGAAACAGCCAGATCAGGAGCATGGAGGTCATCAGGGTAGTACTATTAGTTTGTTTTTAGTAATATGTCAACATTATGCACTTTTTCTCCATTTCCACACTCACACTCCACTTCTGCTTTGTAGTGGGTTCCTGGATAATCACTTAATTGATTTCTATGCCTTGATGTCCTCTCCTTTATAATTTTTGTAGGTCACTGCCATATTAATTTTTATTACACATTGTTTTCAAATAGTCTCTCTCACACTTCAAAAATAGAGATCATGCTATATTATGTAGTGGCTAACATCCCTAGGACTGTGTTCAATGTTCTTTTAAATTTTGTCTTAACCTATTTCTCAAAGGTGATTCTTCAACCATTGCTCTCTGACAATAACCTTCACCGTACTATTTCTACTCCTAGGAACATAATCTCCCTTTTTTTACACGTATCTTCAAATTAATTCAAGTTTCTGTTGTCCTTTGTGAAGTCTTTTTTGAAAATTTCCTCTAGAATATGTTGGAGGGAGATGCAGCTAAGACTCTCTTTCATCTGAAACCTAACTATTTTCAATTAGTCACTATTTTATAGTGTTAATTCTTTCTATATGTTGTTCCTTATCTACTCTAAATGACTTTTCAGTATCATGGAAGGTGCAGGTTTTTGAAGTTTTTTTCCCCTATAATCCATACTTAGAAGTATATAATAACAAAACACAAAGAGAGAATTAAAAAAGATGATGATCTATACCATTTTGATTCTATTTTCCTGATGAAAATTATTAAATATTTTATAAGTTACAAAGCAGTTATGACCCATGGTATGAAAAATACTTCTCTATAAGAACTATTCAGCAATTTCTGAAGCAACTTTTGATTAAAAGAAGGAGAAACCCAGTGGACCCATTTGGAAACTTCAAATTTCCAGGAGAGTCTGCCATGTGTAAAATATATTCAGCAAACATAAAGCAACTGAGGCACAAAACATGTTGACATTGCTAAGGTGTCAGGCAGATTTCAAAGTATGAAAATCCATAGCTCTGATTAGACTTCATAAAACATATATTTGTATTAATATGCTATTCTATAAAAGTGCATTTTCCTTTACAGTTCTGTCTATATTATAGAATAAGAAAAATCCTAACAGTGTGTTTACAATTTCAATAAACCAGTGGCAAAACAACCAAAAAAGATTATATAATGGTGATGTTTTAGAAACTTTCATACCTGAATCTCTCCTGTAATTGGATGAGAGACCACCTTTGTTGCATCAGTAGGCTGTAATATTAAAGAACATGTATTACATTCATACACTTTTCACAGAATTTATCATTTTGGCTTCCTTCTGAAATTAATTTCCATTTGGACAGAGCAACTGCTTGGAAAATACATTTTATCCATTTGGCTGCTTCAGAATAATGGTGTCTACTTATAGTTCTCAACACATGTTTAATTTTATAGATGCATACATCTATTTTTCATTTTGGTAAGCTGGCTTTGAAGCTGTAATTTTATACCAGCAGTATTTTCAATGACTTAAGAAAATGAACACTTTAGGTTTAAAGCACTTAAAGTATTTACAGGTTTTAAAGATCTATACAGTAATGTTTAAAATACATTCAACAAGTAAAAGATACTGTTTTATACAAGAACGGCAGAAGGTAGAAAAGTCCTTCTTTTACTTCTTTGCTGGATGCTCAGCACCTCCCTGCCCACTTCCAAAGTGAAGCACCCACACAATCACTTTCTATTAGTGTACACTTGTTTAGTATAGTTCTGTCCCATTTCCTTAACAAGTTCTTTATGCCAGTGAAGCCTTAAAAGACAGTTAAGTAAGTGATCTGGTAAAGTAATTCATATATTGTTGAATAAATGAGTGATTGCTGACTTGTTAAATTTCCATGAAATAGTTATACAAAAAGAGAGATAACGTCCATGGCCTCAAATCCATAAAAGAATTTTAGGCAATGTGGCATCAGTGTGGAGAGGAGATTTACTAAAATGGTAGCCACCTTGCCATCCTACAAATAAAGCCTTGTCTCCCTACACATACATAATACTGGCCTTGTTTCACTAATTAAATGGAAAAAAAAAGATTCAAGATTCATATTTACTTTGATATATGTACCTTTTCCCTTATGTTTTTATTCTAGAAATGAGAGCAGTCAAAAGAAGACAGCTTTATGCCAAGTCTTGTTCTGTAAAACAACTACGGAATAAAATTAACATAATCATTGGTGGAATTATGGAGGAAGTATTAAATTTTCTAGGCTACATATCCTTAATTAGTTCAGCTCATTTATTTAAAAAAGTGTCCTTTATTATTAAAACTGTGTCCTGGCTTCAAAGGATAAACTGTTTGCTAGTTATTGAACAATTACATTTATTTAATAATAATGTTACTATTTATACTTCAAGAAAACCAAACTAAATCTAGAGAAATAAGTAGCATACAAGTTACTGGAACTATTTATATATATAATTTTCTTTCCCAGCTTTACTGAGGTATAATAGATATACAAGAAACTTAATATAATTAATATATAAAATTTGAAGAGCTTTGACTTATGAATACATTCATGTTACCATCAATAAAATTAAGGTAATAAATATATCACCTCCAAGAGTTCCCTTACATCTCTTTGCTTTTTTCCTTTTTTAATTGAAAGATAAAATTGTATGTATTTATTGTGTACATGTTTTGAAGTATATACACATTATGGAATGCTTCTTATTTCTATCTTTTTTTTTTTTTTTTTTGAGACAGAGTTTCGCACTTCTTACCCAGTCTGGAGTGCAATGGCGCGATCTTGGCTCACCGCAACCTCTGTCTCCTGGGTTCAGGCAATTCTCCTGCCTCAGCCTCTTTAGTAGCTGGGATTACAGGTACGTGCCACCGTGCCTAGCTAATGATTTGTATTTTTAGTAGAAATGGGGTTTCACCATATTGACCAGGATGGTCTCTATCTCTTGACCTCATGATCCACCCACCTTGGCCTCCCAAAGTGCTGGGATTACAGGCTTATTTCTATCTTAATTCAAGATTAGGAGCTTCCTCAATTCAGATATTTTTGTATCTTAAGGCATGACTTATGAATCCAATTTTAGTTGTCCTGGGGTGCTGAACACAGTGAGATGTTTTAAATTATGAGGGTAAAAGAGCACATCTGTTGAACGCTGTGCTAACTACCAGTTCAATTCAGTCACATTTCAAGATTAGAGCCAACTACATTCTTTTCAATTATGTTTTATCTTTGTGAGGCTGCTTTTGGTTGATTACTGTGATTAAAAAAAATGTGCTGCAAGAAAACTAGTGAGATTAGTGATGAGGAACAGGTAATGTGAATGTTAGTATCTAATTTGATTCATGGTTTGAGAAGTTGGGCAGCACTGACAATGCATGCATATGGTATTGATATGATATGTTATTGTAGTTGTTAACAATGAAATAAAAGAATGTATTTTATTTAGTTTTATGTGTATTATTTTTCAAATAATATTAATAAGTTTTGATGTTAGAATATAAATACTTATTCAGTTGTTTGAACATAATTACTTAACCGAATTGTCTTAGGAATTTTTTTGTTCCTAAGGGTACCATGAAAAAATTACTGGACAATAAGGGTGTTATGTTCACCAATCTTTGAGAAACCAACAATCTATTTCATCAGAACTAGCAAAACTAATAAGTACTTTAATTAAATTATTTATCCCATAACTTGGAAGAAATTATAAAGACTTTAAAGGTAGAATGAAGAAAAATTGATCAAAATATTAGATACAAAACTGCTTGAGGCAGAAAATTAATAATTTTGAAGACAAAAATTTGTTAATTAAAACCAATTAATATGGTAAATCATTATGTAAAAACTAAATTAATTAGTTTAAACATAGTCATTATTTGAAATAGTTACATTTTTATATATGTATTTTATCATGAAGTCAAGGTAATGAAACATTCTGTTAATTCAATATCTTACACATATTCAGCAAAAATATAATTTATTTAATGTATACTCATTTTATCTACATTTACTCAGAAATAATCATTTAAATTAGAATATTATCAATGAATTAATTACTAATGAATAATATGTAAAATGTTTAACAGTTGTGTTCTAAACATCTAAATGCATAATTATGCTAATTTTAATTTAAATATTTTAGATTTGGTATATTCACTTACATTTATAAATGTTATAATTAAATATTGTTAATCTCATATCTAATGAAACACAAAGTTAAAACTGTAATTCTTTAAATTATCTGAAGAATGTATGATATATTTGGACATATGTTACCTGATTCTTGGATATGTAAACTTCAGATAATCACTAAATACTTTTAATAATCTGTCAACAAAAATTTTTTAACATTGTAGGATTTGGAGAAAAATTTTAAAAAGTTTTGACTTTTATGCATACTAAAAGTCGATGCATCAAGAAATAGCATTAAATTCATTCATTTATTCAGCAAAAATGTTTCAAGAAGTAACTGTACTTGTAAATGTTGAAGATAAAGCAAATATACATATACATATACACATGTATGTGTGTTTGTGTGTGTGTATATGTATATGTATATTTATATGTGTGTGTATATATGTATATTTATATATGTGTGTGTATATATAGATGTATATGTGTATATATATACATAAAGTTGAATAGGTAATACACTCTCTTCAGGAGTGTTAGCATCAACTGACTATAATTTTTCAATTAAAAATGTAGATACGTTATATATAAATAATCTAAAAAATCATATTTGATTGGCGTTAGTACCAATAGAGTAAATAACTGTATAGCAGTTATTTGTCACATCTTAAGAACTTCCAGGTGAAGCTCTTAAGAAAATAATTGGAAATATTAGTCTATAACTGAGGAGTTAAAAATAAAATTGGAAATAAAAAGCATATAAATTATGTTGTAAGGCACCCAATCACTTAGATTGACCAAAAAGACGGTTTAAGAGTAAAATAAAACACAAGATCTATGTCTTATAGCTAAATGATAAAAATCTCTGAAGTCCAAAATCTTTTAGTTTTATATTTGAGGTTAAGACTCTTGGGTTTATCTTTTGTCCCACCCCTTACCACAATACCTAACAGGTAGTGCTTAAACAACTACTAAATGTATGAAAAATCTGAGAACATGAAAAATATATGCATCTACTCAACATAGTACGACAAATCCTAGCCAGAGCAATTAGGCAAGAGAAAGAAATAAAAAGCATCCAAATTGGAAAGAAAAAAAGGTAAAATTGTGCTTGTTTGCAGATGACATGATCTTATATACAAAAAAACTCTAAAGACTCATCAAAATACTGTAAAGCTAATAAACAAATTCAGTAAAGTTTCAAGATACAAAGTAAATATAAAAAAATCTAGTATTTTTATGGACTAACAGCAAATGATCTGAAAATGAAATGAAGAAGATATCATCTAAAGTAGCTATAGAAAGTAAAATACTTAATAAATTTAAACAAGAAGGCAAATGTCTTTGCACTAAAAACTCTAAAACATTGATAAAAGAAACTGAAGAGGACAAATACATATAAAGCTATTCCATGTTTATGAATTGGAGATAATAATGTTCTTAAAATGACCATACTACCTCACATGATATGCAGATTCAATGCACTCTCTATAAAAATTTCTTTGGAGTCTTTGAACTAATAAATCAATCCTAAAGTTCATTTAGAACCACAAAAGATTCTAATAGCCAAAGCAATCTTGAGCTAAAAAGACAAAGCCAGAGGAATTATGCTATTTGATTTCAAAATCTACTACAAAGCTACAGCAATCAAAGCAGCATGGCATGGTCTAAAAACCAACAGACATAGAGAATGGAACACAATAGATAAACCCCAAATAAATACATTCATTTGCAGTCGATTGACTTTCAACAAAGATGTTAAGAACACATCATGGGCAAAGGATAGTTTCCTTAATATGTGGTACTGAGAAAACTGGACATTCACATGCAAAGGAATAAAATTAGACCTTTATCTCATATCATATACAAGAATCATCTCAAAATAGATTAAAGATTTAAATATACCACCTGAAATTTTAAATTATTAGAGAGAAACATGAGGGAAAAGCTTTACGACATTGGTTTGAGCAAAGATTATTTGAAGATGATGCCAAAAGCACAGGCAACAAAAGCAAAAAAAAAAACAAAACAAAACAAAACAGAAGTACAAGAAACTAAAAAGCTGTACACCCAATCAGCTTCTGCTGATTGTTTCAATCAACAGAGTGAAGAATGTGAGAAAATATTTGCAAACCATGCATGTGACAGGGTGTTAATATCCAAAATATATAAGAAAGTCAAACAATTCAATAGCAGAAAAACAAATAATGTGAATTTAAAATGGGCAGAGAATTGGAATAGACATTTCCCAAAAGAAGACACAAATGACTAAGAGGTATATAAAACATCAGTATCATTAATCATCAGAAAAATACAAATTAAAACCACAATGAGATATCAACTCATTTCAGCCAAAATGGCTGTTATCCTAAAGAAAAAAGATAGTGTGTGCTGATGAGAATGTGAAGAAGGGAACCCTTGCACATTGTTGGTGGGAATGTAAATTGATATATCCATTATGGAAAACAGTATGGAGGTTCGTGAAAAAAATTAAAAATAGAGCTACCATATAATCTAGTGATCTTGCTGCTGAGCACATATCCAAAGGAAATGAGATCAGTATGTCAGAGATACCAACACTCTGAGGCTCATTGCAGCATTATTTGCAACAGCCATGATAGAGTAACAACCTAAGTGTCTATTAGTAGATGATTAGGTAAAGAAAATGTGTTACATATACAAAACGAAATACTATTTAGCCTTAAAAAACAAGGACATCCTGTCATTTATAATAACATGAATAAATCTGAAGGACATTACGTTAAGTGGAAAAATTTATGCACAGAGAGATAATGATCTCACTCATACGTGGAATCTAACAAAGTTGAACTTATAGAAGCATAGAGAAGAATGGTAGTTACCAGGCGCTAAGAGAAAGGAAGGATTGGAATAATGGTCAAAGGGTACAAAACCTCTCTTAGGAGGAAGTTTGAAAGGTCTGTTGTGCAACATGGTGACTACAGTTATTAGTAAATATATTATATTCTTGAAAATTGTAAAACAAGTAGATTTAAAAAAAATTTTAAGCCAAATACTTCTGAGGAATGAAGAGTAGATTTCAAGTGTTTTCACAACAAAAAACAAGTGAGGTAATCCATGTTAATTAGCTCAATTTAGCCATTCCACAATGTATTCATGTTTCTTTTTTAAAAAAATTATAATTTGTATGTGTTAGTTTGCTTTTTTTTTTTTTTTTTTTTTTTTGGGAGATAGAGTCTCACTCTATCACCTAGACTAGAGTGAGTACAGTGGTGTGATCTCTGCTCACTGCAACCTCTGCCTCCCATGTTCAAGTGCTGCTCCCACCTCAGCCTCCTGAGTAGCTGGGACTACAAGAACTTGCTATCATGCCTGGCTAAGTTTTGTATTTTCTGGTAGAGATGGGGTTTCACTGTGTTGGTTAGGGTGGTCTCAAACTCCTGGCTTCAAGTGCTCTGCCTGCTCTGTAATCCCAGAATGCTGGGATTACAGGCATAAGCCATCACCTCCAGCCACAGGGACATGGATGAATCTGGAAACCATTATTCTTAGCAAACTGACACAGAACAGAAAAACCAAACACCACATGTTCTCAGTCATAAGTGGGTGTTGAACAATGAGAACACATGGACATAGGGCGGGGAACATCACACACTGGGGTCTGTTGGGGAGTGGGGGATATAGGGGAGGGATAGTGGAGGAAATGGGGAGGGATAACATAACATTAAGAGAAATACCTAATGCAGACGATGGAGGGATGGATGCAGCAAACCACCATGGCATGTGTATACCTATGTAACAATCCTGCACGATCTGCACATATACACAAGAACTTAAAATATAATAATTTAAAAAAACTAATAAAAAATCATGCTGTATGGTATAAACATGTTTTATTTGCTAATTAAAAATAATTTAAAATTTAAAAATATAAGCAATATTGCATGAGGTTAATTGCTTAATTTAAAAAGAAGTTGTCTTCAAATATCTTCAAATTGTGTTTTTATAACATAGAAACATCTATGAAACAGAATTTAGTATTAATTATCTTAGTATTTTAGTTGGCTAGTTTATGAATTATTTTTAAATGATTATCAAAATAGAGCCTCTCTAAGGTAATTATACAAAATTAGCACATAATTGCTTATGGTAAAATGTAGTTGCGTTAAAACTTACATTAAAATTTAGTCTAACAGCCCTTGAAATTACTTTGTTTATGAAGCTTTTCTATATTTAGTTTCAAACAAATCATTTTATGATGCAATGATTAGGGTCAACCTACTTTGTTGTTTGCTTCTGAATAAAAGGATTCTTTTTTTTTTTCTGCTGTATTTTTATAGCTGAAAAACAAATTTTATTTTTTGATGTCTGGTCACTTGACCTAAGCATTTATAGCCTGTTCTTCCCATATCTCTCACCACATAAAGACAAACCTTTATTCATGTTTTAAAAAAGGACACTTTTTCCCCCATGTGTGTATCAACCACAGGGATAGTTTTTAATTAAGAATCAAATCTACGAGGGAAATTATAAATGTCTACATTTCCTCTGCTTTTTAAAAGCTTAAAAATAATTTTATGTTCTTTTTAAATTCCCCAGCACTTTGAAACAATAGTATTGGAAGAATTTGTTTTGTATGAGGACTTGCATCAATAAAAAAATTCTTAATATGGAATTGAGGATAAAGTTCAAAGTGGTGATAACATGTTACTGGTTTTCCTTGTTTGTTGTCATAAATTTTCTTTATTGCTGTGCCCTTTTTACTTTTTACTTAAATTATAAAATCTAATATAATATGTATCTTTTGTTTCCAAAAAGATACAAAGCTATATTCTATATACAAAGGTCAGATTCATGCAACAACAAAGAGAATCAGAAAGTATGAAGTATCAGACACATTTTTCATGTTCCTCATAACCACTGAAATATTTTAAGAGATGTAGAAATACATCATCTTGATACATCTGGATCAGTTTTGTACTCAGAAGAGAAAAAAAGTTTCTTAATTTGATAGTTCATCTGGAAATGAAAAACCATAAGAAAAATACTTTGGAAAATGATATTTTACTTTTTATCAATGGTCTGAACAAAGAACTAGAAAGTTAGTGGGTCAGAGGTCACATACAAAACTCCTCACCTTGCTGCTGCTGTGCTTCTTTTTGCTCACTGAGGGGGACCCTGGTTGCCCAGGGCTGGGAACAGAACTGGATCCTGCTGATGTAGGACCTGAATGAACATGAGATCCTTTTTCAACAACTGACGACAGAACCAGTGGTGACTGCTGTAGTGAAACCTTCTGGAGTTCGGCTGCCAATTGCTTAGGATCAACCCCTGGGGATTTCGCCTTATCCACTACAAGAAAAGGAAATAGATTTACGTACTTCTTCATTTCATAGGTACTTAATGCCATGGAACTATGTGTGCTCCAGGTGACAGGTGAAACATTACCTATAAAATAAGCTCAACTTTAAAAATGAAATTAACTTAATTGCACTTTTATGTATCAATTGCTAAGGAAGTCCTCAAGGCTCTGGGAAGAGTGACATAATACTGAATTACAGAGGAAGAGTGAAGTTTCTGTTGCATATTCAGAAATGTTTTTAATATTTTACATAGAGAATTGTTTGAATGATGCAATATCCTATTTTATCCATTGGAATTTAATTTGTTTGATTAGCTGTTTTTCCTTTCCTAAATTTTATACAGCTTTTTCTCTAAGGGGAAAATTTTCTAAGGGGAAAATTTCCATGTGTATATTTACATTTATAAATGTATTAAAATTTGTCTAGCACTTGGTTTATTCTGTTTAGTGCAGCAAGCCAGCTTACCAGAATTGGGGCTGCAAGAGTAGGAAGTGCTCAACAAAAATTTATTAAATATAGAAAAATGTTTTTTTTTCTTTGAGATGGAGTCTCACTGTCACCAGGCTGGAGGGCAGTGGTGCAATCTCGCGTCACTGCAACCTCTGCCTCCCAGGTTCAGATGATTCTCCTGCCTCATCCTTCCAAGTAGCTGGGATTACAGGCTTCCACCATCACACCCAGCTAATTTTTGTATTTTTAGTAGAGACGGGGGTTTCACCATGTTGGCCAGGATGGTGTTGATCTTCTGATCTCACGATCTGCCTGCCTCAGCCTCCCAAAGTGCTGGGATTACAGGCGTGAGCCACCATGCCCAATAAAAAGTGATGTTTTAAATCTTACAATGAATCTAACAAATTTGTAGATTATATTTGTCATCCAAGAAAGATGTTAAATCTATCTCATCATGTACTTATGAAATTACATGTTGATTTTTGTTTTTTATAAAAAGGCAATGAGAAGGTTCAGGAATAAGCTTTTTTAAAAACCCAGCTATTCTAAAAGAATGAAGTATGCTCTAAAAAGTATGTAAAACTGAAAAGAAATGGCTCCAGGTATTACTTTCACAGGATGAATTCATATTTAAATAATTAAAGCAGTGAACTCATGCAGCAAGGATTTTATGTGAACTTGTTTAAGGGGACTAACACCCAAATATATATTTTCCCAGAATGTTAAAACTGTAGCTAAAATGTCCTAGATTTTGTCTATAATTATATAAATATGTAAAAAAATCTATAACTTTATCTTTGTCTATATCTATGTGTATGTCTATATCTTCATCTATAACTGCATCTGCCTCTGCAACAACTTCTATGTCTATGTCTTTATTCACAATTGAAACTAGATTTTGTTTACCTACCAGTTTTTGGTGGCTCATGAAGTTCCAGATGCTGGGGGTTTTCAGAATCTGATAGCATATTGAGGTCCCTAAAAATTAAAACAAAACATTAAGAAAGATATTGAGGAAATCTGAGACAAAGAACACTTTTTTCCAACTACCCTTAATTGTTTTCAGTAGGTAAATGAGAAGTGGTTAATGATATAAAGCAACTCCAAAGCATGCTTACCCTCCTATCCAATATATATTTGCAATGCTGTTAAAAGTCAGAGCTGATAAAAATGATTATTTAAGGTGAAATCTTTATGAATTACATGTAAGTTCATTTTTAAATGCACACTTTGAAATCTAAATGGGTTCAGGCTTTCATTTAAATGAGGTATGTTTCAATAAAAGCATGAAAGGGAAGAGGCTGTTGACACAATCAGAAACTAAGTTAGCTGAATTCTTTCTGTGCTTTAGGCTTTGATTTCAAACACGAGAAATTTATAAAACTTATATTCACTTTATTTTATAATTACAGAAAATCTTGCTAACTGGCAAAGGTTCCACCTTAACAATTTTAAATTAAAAGAGTCATGGATAGCCAAAAAATGGAAACAAAAAGATGGGGAAAAACTCACAGTCTTACACATATTTCTGCTTCCCCACTTTGCTGACTAATGATACTCTGAACTTCTTCATATGTTTTAGAAGTTAAGGGAATTCCATTCCATTCCAATACTTGCATCCCTAGAAAGACAAATTTGAATATAAAATCATATGTGTGCTATTTCTAGTCTGGGTGTATAGGGCATCAAAGATATTTATTTGCATTTAGAAGTCAACTTAGCACACCATTTCAGAAAGCATCAGTTCAGAGTTCTCTGCAACATTAATACCAAAACCATTATGCAGTTTGATCTCATTAACTTACCTGAATGCATAAAATATATTTAATACAACATGCAAAATTTTGCTTTTGAAAATCTATTTAATATTATCAAACGCATGCATTCTGTTCACACTGCCATAAAATGAATTATTGAATGTATATTGCATAAACCAATTTTGTATAGGAAAAAAACCAAACAATTACAACCACCAATATAGTTTTCCTGTGGGGAGCAAGCTACTGGAATAATGTATTTGGTATTTTATCATGAAATGGGAGTAGTAGAAAAAAGTCGTTTGGATTTCCTTGTGAAGCTCCATTTCAGAAATGTTGTAGCTTCTGTATTGTCCAGATGAAACAGAACGCCACTTCCTGTCTTTTTCTTCACTGCATTCCAGACATTCCTGAATCAAGGAATAGCAGGAATGTTACAGAAAGGGCAGCTGATTGGGTCTGTGACCTGTGCACTAGTACATGACCCTGAGCTCAGAAAGGCCTATGCTCGGTTTAATGCTCTGCTGTTGTCATGTTGAAATTCTTACTGACATTTAAACAAAGAACCCACATTTTAATTTTGCAATGGGTTTTGCAAATTATGTAGCTGGCCTGGTTTGGCCTGGTCAGGTCATTTCTTTTTTTCTATCTAGAAAGATAATTTCATAGAAAAAAAGAAAAGTGTAACATAATTAATATTACAACACTTTACATATAGCTTCTTTGGTCCATTTGCTATGAGCTGTCAAAATCTTTGAAGGGTCTATGTATGGCATGATTCACAATGTCCTGATGCGTGGCTATGTGAATTGGGTATACAGTAGATTAAACCATCCAAGGTAGTGCTCACATAAGTGTGAGTACTATCAGCTTTATTTGAGAAAAAATGTCTGTATACCAAAATTATGCTGTTGAACCATTATTATTATTATTATTAATTTTGAGACAGAATCTCACTCTGTCACCCAGATTGGAGTGCAGTGGTGCAATATCAGCTCTCCGCAACCTCTGCCTCCCAGGCTCAAGGTTTTCCTGCCTCTGCTTCTCGAGTTGCTGGGATTACAGGTGCACGCCACCACGTTTGGCTAATTTTTGTATTTTTACTAGAGATAGGGTTTCACCATGTTGGCCAGGCTGGTCTTGAACTCCTGACCTCAGGTGATCTGTCTGCCTTAGCCTCCCAAAGTGCTGGGATTACAGGCGTGAGCCACCGTGCCCAGCCTGAACCATTAGGTTTTTAATGAGTTTCACAGATGCCTATGTGAAATTACCTATTGATCATCATTGGCTTCAATGGGAAATTCTAAACATGGCATGATTGTGTCTTTAGAAGTTTTAATGATTATGACATATGTTAGAAGGCATATTACCAGTTGCAATAAGTAAGGGAAAGCTTTTACACTATAGTCAAATGGTAAAAGAAGTCCATAAAAAGGCTCACATAACACAAACAAGAATGACTTTTCTATAACTTACTCCAAGGAAACTTTATCTTCAGATGGGCCTTAGGTTTATTTCAACAATCCCAGGCTGTTGTACATACAAAATGAGAAAATTATGTAAAAGACAGTGATAACACCACGAAAGAAAAATATAGCATGCTGAAAGAGGAAAATAAAGCACTTTTTTTTTCATAAGGAGGAAGAGCACATTAATAAACAGATGATTTTGAATTCAATTAAATTGAAGTTGTTATAATTCGGAAATTGCATTGTCACATTTCTGCAGGAGCACATACTATGAAAAGGAATAGTCACATATTTTCATGCTTTTTCTATTGAATTTACCTGTTTATTCTTTACATCCCAAAATAAAAGGGCAAATTAACAGAACAGAATTATCCCATAAAATAAAAATAAAAATGCTTCTAAAAAACTAGTATGGTTAATAAAATTTCTGAAAAAAATAAACAGATAATTAGGCTTTTGCCTGGATATACATCTGACACCATAACCTACATGATCTGTTCCATGCCACAATACATTAATGGAAATTCTTTCCCCCCGCCTCAGTTTCCTACCCTAGTTGTTTCAGTGCGGCAGTTCAAAAGATTGGGTCAATTCTTTTATCCTGGCTCTATGCCCGCAGTGAGACGGCATAGGGAAGATGACCACTGACCATGGTCATTTAATAGTCATTCCCCTTTCTATTGTCTAATGTCCTACAAATTCTATGAGCTATATTAAAATAATTAATTATATATAGATATAACAAAGCACTCCTTATTCATCTCAAAAGAGGTTCTAGTAGTTGTGAAAATTAAATATGGCATTTCAAATATATATGAACATTATTTGTTAATTATAAAATTCTATAAACTATTTAAAAATCCATACAAAAATTTGTTGAAAATTATGCTCTGTGGAAGTCCAATAATGTATTTTATTGTTTAATAGGTTTGAATGTTAGCATTTTTAATCTCAAGACAGCTTTTTACACTGTGTTTCAGATTTTTCTGGAAAGTAGTACACATATGAATTTATGATATTTATTACATAGTACTATGAGTAAACATTTGTATTTTCTTTACATTTAAATAATTACAAATTTCAGATAAGAAAGTGCACAGATGAGGCTTCAGTTATGTTCCTTGAAAGTAGCTATTTTAATAGCTTTATTTATTATTATTATTATTTTTGACACAGGGTCTCACTCTTTCACCCAAGGTAGAGTGCAGTGGCATGATCTCAGTTCACTGCAACCTCTACCTACCAGGTTCAAGTGATTCTCCTTCCTCAGCCTCCTGAGTAGCTGGGATTACAGGCACCTACCACCACACCTGACTAATTTTTATATTTTTAGTAGAGAAAGGATTTCACCCTGTTGGCCAGCCTGGTTTTGAACCCCTGATCTCAAGTGATCCACTGCTCTCGGCCTCCCAAGGTGCTGGGAACCACCACACCTGGCCTTTAATTGCTTTTAATAGGAAATTAAGACAGTCTAGATTTTTGCTGAATATGTAGCAGTGATGAAAGGATTTGTTGCAAAGTCTCTTGCTTAATAGGTTACTAAACACAGAAAAGACAATAATAAGATAATTCTAGAACTTTAAAAATATTAACATAAAACATTCTCAAATTGCTTTCATAACTTCTAGGATTACTTAATTTTGCATGTTCCTTAAATGGGCAAAGTCTACTCTTCTCTCCTTAATACAAAATTTCATGTTATGTTCTTACTTGATTTATATTTATTATTTACCATCACATTGAAAACATCTTAAAATAATTCAGTTAAAAATCTTACAGATTACTCTATATCCAAACATATGCCACACAAAAGCTCATGACGTTTATCCATTTTACTCACTCTGTATGTATTTTTCCACTGCTTCATATGTAGTAGGCACTACATAATTAATCACCTTTGTTTATGTCTAACACTTTATGATGTTATAAAAATTAATAAAAAAATGATAGTCTATCAGATAACAATTGGAAATATCTAAGCAATTAGTAAAATAAAGATGATTCACAAAGGAGGAAGTTCCAAAACTTTGCAAATATATGAAGAAAGCCCAGATTCATTAGTGATTAGAAAGTGCAAATTGAAGCCAAAATATATTACCTAACTGTCATTGTATTGGGACAAGTTTGAAAACCATAAAATGCCATGTGTTGATTGAGCTGTAGGATTGGTGACCTTGATTTCATCAAGAGATATTCTAGCTTGATGGTTGTTCTGGTTTACTCTCTCTATAATGTGAGAATATCATGACTATAAATAGATAAAACAATCTCTTATTTACAATTTATAAACAAGTAATTATTTTAATGAGAATGCACATAAGTCTGACTGTTCTGGAGGGCAATCTGGCAGAATGTATTTAAATTAAGCATATGCACACTCTATCACCCAAAAATTCTCTTCGTGCGTATGTATTTGTGAGGAGGTGGAGGTATTAGGAAAAACAGGCATTGAGAATGTTGTGAACGCTCATGATGGAAATACTTGGCAGACGCTGAAAGAAACAGAGCATACCAGGTGTTAACACCAGAAGGTGGATACATCTTAAAGTCTTTGCCAAGTTAAAAACAAGTGAGAAACAGGATCTGACCTATTAGCCAATGTCATTTATGTCAATTTAAATAACATGCATATGAAATAAATCATTACATATTTTATGAAACAATATCAAGCATCTCACAAATTATTATAGTTGGTCACCGAGAGGAGAGAAGAATGGGAAAATAAAATAAGACAAAGGAAAATGAATGTGTTCATAAGTGAATAAATGAAAAACACACAAGAGCTGACCTTGAAAAAAATAATAAAGACCAAAACCTAATTTAAAAATTTACAGTATCAGTTATTTGCAATTTGTTTGCTATCTTTTCTACATTAAGATTAGTAATCATGACTACAGCGTTATTTTCCAAATTTGAATAACCTCTTTGAATAGTCTTCTATAAAGTACTAGCAGCAGCAGCAAAGGATCAGCTGAATTTGGCCACTTCCCCTGGCTGAGTCAATAGCAAACATATCTTGCAAGTGGGCTTCAGGGTTCCAATAAAATTGTCCACATCAATTATACTAGTTGCTCTTTCATGTTAATGTTAGGCAGTGTTAATGTATGAGAAAGACATAGATAAATGGAATTTTTTAAATTAATTTTTTTCATATTTTACAATTTTGATCTATTTATATATTAACATAAAGGGGAGAAAGGTAAGAAAAATGGAAGAAAGGAAAGATGAAAGAGAGGAAGGAGTAAAATGAAAAGGGAAAATTAGTATTTGAATATTTATTTACAGGAGAAGGAGACACGCTCCGTGATAATAAGACATTCAAAACTAGTATATTTATTTTGAAATACACAATAAGCTATTTGTGATGGTTAATATTTTGAGTGTCAACTTGACTG